CTCCGCGCGTAGTGGCCTCGGAAATGAGGGGCTTCACGACTCGTCCAGCCGCCCCCGGGCACCGCTTCCCGCCGGAGACCCCACCGTCTGGCCCCCCAGCCCCGGGCTGGGCTGAGACTGTTCGACCCCCTCCCCCCGCACAGGAAGTGTCCGTCCGCGGCCAGTTTCCCCCGCTGGCTAGCGCCGCGGCCTCTCTAGGAGCGACTGGAGGTGGAAACTCGTTGGCATTAACCCTGGGCGGGATGGCCCCGGCTTTGAGGTGGGGGAAGACGGGTCGCCCCGAAGCCGACGGCAGAGGCTGGGGCAAGTTTGTGTGCCTATATCCTAGGTCTCCGTTGTTCAGTGGCCGATCTGTCGGTCTCCCGGGGCTTGCGTCCGTCAGTGCCTGTGGCCAAGGGCGAGGCGACAAGCGAGACCAAGGTCAGAGAGAAGGAGCGACGCTTCCCGGCGCCAGCGAGGGCGGCGTCTAGCTCTCCTCCCCTCCCCGGCCTCGGGGTCAGCTCCGGCTGAGCCTCGGGAACCTGGACGGACCGCCCCCCCCCTTGGGCTCACCCAAGCTCCAGTAGTCTGGGACACCCCCCACAAACTCCACTCCCCACCCCCGCGCGCCTACCCCCTCTCCTCCCGGCCGCCTCCCTTCTCCGCTCCTCCTAATCTCCTCCTTCCCCTCCCAGAGTGCTAGGACCGTTGCCAAGGAAACAGCTCCGCCTCGGGTTTCCGAGGCACCGCCCTCCTCCAGGAAGCCCAGCGATTGGCCGAAGGCGCTCGGGTTCTCACCGTCCCGCCTCCTCCCACTACTCCAACGCGGGGCGTTAAAGGTCGCGGGGGAACGCGAGGCATCTAATTGGCTGGAGGGCGCGCAGGCCGGCTCACCTCACCGTCTGCCAGAAGTGCCTGCAGGAGTGAGTGGGAGGGTGGTGCCTGGCGTCTCCCCGAGAGCTGGGCCTGTGCTTTTAGAACTTCTCCCGCCCCCACTTACCTTTCATTATATTTTCTTTTTCTGAATAATGAAAGCCCTGGGATCTAAGGACACTCTTCCTCCCCCGGTCTCCCTCACACTCCCTTCCCCAGCGCTTTCCATCTTCCCACGGTTTCAGTTGCTGAAGAGGCTGGTGATGGTGATGGTGATTTGCAGGGGAGGGAGGGTTGGGAATGAAGGGGTGTCCCCTCCCACAGAGAAGGGGCTGGTTTCTTTTTTATTAATTTGCCTCTCCCCTTTTCTCCTTCCCCAAAGCCTTTCATTTAACTCAGAGCCTTTAGTCCCTGGCTCAGGGATTTCCTCACAAGGAGGCAGGGATCTTGTGAAAATACCTTCTAGGTGACTGATAAAGCTCAGGAGGGAAGTGGACTGGTAAGCTTCCAGGATTTAAGGCAACTCAGAACTCTCTTGTCTGACTTAGGTAGAGGCTTGTAGAGGAAGGAAACAATGTTTATCTGGGTGCAGCTTAAGGGAAAAGTGACTCTGGAGAGACTACCAAATAGGGTCCAGTTCTTGGCCCATTTCTCCCTTGCTCTTGAGACTAGTTTGATTGTATTCTTAAGTCTCCCCTGTGAATGATGTAGGAGCCATGGATTGTGTTTTCTTGCTGCATTCCCAGACAAATGAAAGGAAAACTAGTTACAAGCAAAGATGCTATCTCCCATCCTCCTGGAAAAAAACATGAGAACAAGAATTTGGAGAATTCCAAGTGGTAAAAGGCTGCAAAGAAGCTATCTCAATAGAGTGAACAAGTAGTCACACACCTATCTCCCTACATAGTACTTTTCCGCCCTCCAGATAAAGTTTCAAGTTCCAAAGCTCTCCCAAAACAATGTCTGCCTGTCCTAAAACTTCAGCTAAGCAAGGCTCACATGGCCCAGCGCCAGAGGGCCCACACAGAAAGAACACACTGTAAGGGCCCTGCCAGAAGAGGTAGACATGGGGAGCCCCAGGTTCTCCACAAATTGCTCATATGTGCGAAACAAGCCTTCTTCAGAAGACATTTTCCTCTGATCTCCAACCCGTTAATCCACCAGAAAATTCACAGGTGAGCAGCCATCCCCTGCAGAGTGTGACAAGGCCTCCAGTCACCCCACAACGCATTGCCTGCTCTCTTCATAGCAGAGGCCACAAGCTCCACAAGTCACAGCAGCTGGGCCAGGGTTTCCAGCTGCAGACAATACAGTTTCTCATCTGCAAGAGGGGCCATCTTCCGAGCAGCCCCCTCTAGCACCAGCCCTACTAGACTATGGCCTTCCCGAGCAACCAGCCTCCGCCTGCCACGAGCCCACAGCCGTGACAGGCTCCGAGCATAGTGAAGACTCTGACCACGACTCAAGGTGGGGTGACCTTATTCTACCACTATGTCATGTGGGACAGCCCTTTGTGTGTTTGAAGTTGGACACCACTTCCAACACAGCATTGTCCTGTGATGTGCAGCAGCTTGGGTAGAGCAACTATTCTTATGTCCAGCCAGTCAGCACCACAGAGGCACTTGGTATGAGAGCGGCAACCTGTAGAGGCCAAGCTCTGTAAGTGACTTTTTAAAATAATATTTATGCATACAGAACTGGGATACAGGGCAGAATTGCAGGGACTGAGAGGATTCACTAGCGACAGAGTGGGGAGACTGACAAAGTACATTGCTGAGAGGAGCAGCAGGCGAGACAGGAGAGGTCAGCTCTGGGGCGGAGGATTGAACTCACACTGCAATAGCAGTAGCAGCTTGCAGTGCTGCTCCTAACCTGTTGAGCCACCAGGGAGAGCCTACATCTTTTTTAAAAAGACACTGTGTGTTAATCTGGGGTAGAAGGCCTTACTTTGAGAAATCCTAGCCTAAAGGAGATTTTAGCTTCTCTGAATCATAAATACCATTCCTAGTATTTAAAGAAGTCAGGGGTCATTGAAGCTTAAATCAACACCCCCTATTTTTAGGTAAGCTAGGGTCTGGTGGTCCTGAATTTATGGATGGGGCTGTCTTAGGCAGACAAATATTTCTCCTAATGCACCAATGAAGACCTAGAAAAACCTTCCTAGCTTAAACTGCTTCAGAGTCTGAGCCTCAGAGACCTGTGGTAGCAAAGGAAAAAAGGAAGCCCAGCCTCATAACCATGCCAAGAAACGGGCAGCTTGGAGTGAAATGAATCTGAAGTGTAACATTTGATGACACTCCTAAGTTGATCAAATGGTGGAAAGTTAGGTGATGAGGGCAGAAGCAGAGGAGTCAAGTCTGGTCTTCGAGCCTTAGCAGCTTTTGTCAACTTCAAAGTACTCAGAGAAAGTAGTAATTAAAGTACCTTTAATGGCGAGGTGAGAGCAGGATGCAGATCTGAGTGTGAGGTGAGAACTGGTGTTACAAGTCAGCCTTTCCCTAGGCAGCAGTGGGGGGAAAGGGGGGCAGTGTGTGTGTGTGGGGGGGGTGTAATACTGGTTTCTCTAGGGAATTAAAAGCTGGTTAAAAAGTATCTCAAGCTGCTAAGGTGCCTCTTTTCAACCCAGTTTTCCCTTGTGACATGGTAGTACATGAGCCAGTCCGCTCAGAAAAGCTTAGGGTGAGGGAGAGCTTGTTGGGATCAGATTTAAAGATCCAACTGGAATCAAGCCAGTTTATTATTTTACCTTTTCCCCCAATTTTTCACCTCTCTAGACATTTCTCCAAGTTGCAAATTCGGCTTCTTCCTCTTTAAAGTAAACCAGAACTGGGAAATATGGGTGTAGTTCCTTTAGCCACTAACCCCAAATGTTCTTGGCTGACTCCTCCTGTCCAAGATGGTGGGTTATCTACAGAGTGAAGACGTGAACTTTGCTTGTTTGCCCCGAAACCCTCACCCAGGGCTGGTTCTCCCCAGGTATGCCATGTGGTAGTTTTGTCACTTGCCTCACACGTGGGCTTTACTGGCCCTGCATTAGTCCATCCCGCTCAGCTCAGTGCCACGGAGTTATCACAGGGTGCGGGGAGATGGCTCCAGGCCTTCAGCTGAGACACTGGCAAGGGGCGCAGGAGGGCGTGCTAATGACAACAGGAAGCTAGACAGCCTGGAGTCCTGTATGAGTGGGCACCCAGTCTTGGTGTCCTAGCTGCAGATTGGAAGCACTACAATCTCTTCCAGAAAAAAAAAAAAAAAAACACGTGGTGAGAGCTTCTGGCTGGGTCAAGGGTGGCTGAGGCTTGAACTTGCAGGACTCTCACAAGGAGGCCCTACACACTGCAGGGTGCTTTCAGGTTGACCTTCCCCTTCAGACACAGAACTGCCTCGGCAGAGCGTGTGCTGTGGTATGGCAGAAACACAACTAGTTTTGTAATAGGGTGGTCCCTAGGAAAAAGGGAAGTTCCAGGTTCCCTGCCCCCCAGGAGGGTGGAGCTGAGCAGAGAAAAAGGAGAGGAGAATGAAGCAGGGTGGAGGAGGAGACCTGAGGAAGCCACATGGAGCAGCAAGCATGTGATGAAGAAACAATGCTTGTTCCCTGACCCTGGACTAGTTAAGGAAGATGTGGGTGAGATACCTGTAGGGAGGTGACTATGGCCATGTTTATATTGATTTTGATTTTGCTCTTTTCCTCCCAGACTTGTCTGACCATTTCTGACCCTTTTCCATGGGTCCTGGCCAGGTACTTTAGTCTGGTGGCAGCTTTCAGGCCTTGCTTTGGGCCCACGAGGGGATAGGTAACTTCAGGTGTTTGATTTAGAAGTTATATTGTGTTCCGTATTGTGTATTTACTGTATTAAAGTCCCTTTTCATTAAAGTTTTATGTTTTGTCTTGTTGTGGCAGATGGCAGAACCCACTTAGAGCAGGCAGGTTTTGGGGCTTCAGGGGTGTCCCTCTCCCCGTCCTCTAGTAGATTTGGGGTGCCCTACAACAGTTTGGGGCAGAAGATTCTTGACTGCTCTTCCTGGCTGCACTGTCTTCAGACAAGGTATTTCCTTTCTCAGGCAGTTTTCAAGATAAACTGAGTTGATGGTATAATAGTTTGGAAACCATTAAAAGCAAGCAAAGACAGGTAAAGCAAAACCTGTTTTTATTTCTCTCCTATCACCCTTTCACATATATACTCTACCTGAATTCCCAATTCAGGAAAACTTGAATGCGGAAAACCATGATGTGCAGCTGCTGCGGCTCCGGGAACCAAACAGCAGGTCATCTAAATGAGGAGAAACTCCCAGAAGGAGATGGTCTGCTTTGCCACGACCACAAAGAATGCCAGCTGACGCTGGCCAGGAGCTGGCTGGCCAGGAGCTGGCGGGGAGCTGCAGACCAGCTACTGCACAGAACGGGCACCAGCTCCACCCACAGGCGGCAGCTGCCAATTGTTTTTATGAGCGCTTGGGTCACGTTGCCAAATCTTTCGATTTTTCAAGGTAAGTCGGAATCTGGACTTTTGTATGAAGTATTCTGACTCTTACATCCTGACCAGTATTCTGTAATGTTTTTAAAATGCTGACTGAGCCTAAAAAATTAAAAAGGCAGCTACCAACACATTCAGTATAGGCCATTTTTAATTTCTGCAAGAAAAAGACAATGGGCAAAACCAAGTTCTCCTCACCTGAATCCTCTTAACACATGTGTCAAACAGCTTTTCTTACCTACAGCAGAGGTGTTGTGGGGGTGCTTGCTTCAGCCCTAACTCAGCAAAGGGGGCATCTAGAGTCTGGAACAGTAGAGAGCAATGTGTCAGCAAATGAAGCTGGTAAGGACTCAAGACAAGACTGTCCTCATCCCCAAGGTCCAGAGGTAACTTCCCTGGAGCCACCAGAGGTTCAGGCCCCTAGGCCCAGTCTGGCCTTCAGGTGACATTAAATCTTCATCTTTTGCTTTGTCACCACTGAGGCCATCATCCACACTCCTGGAATATGTTTGGATAGTGCTGGAAGCCCACAGGTGGGTCCCGGTTCCCTTGGCCAGGGGTCAGGGGCCCGGGCAACCCACTGGCAACTCTGTGCCTTCGCACCCCAGCATCGGGCCTATGGACCCACAGGTGCTTGGTCACAGCTGACTTCTGACTGAAGCACTTGCCACACTGAGGACAGGGGTAAGGACGCTCGCCACTGTGGGTTCGCTGGTGGACTACCAACTCGGAGCGCTGTCGGAAGCAGCGCCCGCAGTCTGGGCATGGGTAGGGCTTCTCACCCGTATGGGTGCGAGCATGGCGCCGAAGGTCTGAGGCATGGGCAAAGGCACGGCCACAATCTGGGCAGGGGTAGGGGGTCTCACCACTGTGGACCCGCTGGTGCTGCCAGAGGGAAGAGCTCTGGCTGAAACAGCGGCCGCAGTCAGCACAGCGGTAGGGCTTCTCTCCTGTATGAACCCGTAGGTGGGTGATGAGGTTACCGCGCAGGGAAAAGGCCCGGCCACAGTGGGGGCAGTGGTGGGGCCGCTCCTCAAGGTGGGAGGCCCGGTGCTTGTTCAGAGAAGAGGACTGGCTGAAGCCCTTGCCACAGTCAGAACAATAGTAGGGCTTCTTAAATGTGTGTTCGTACAAGTGCCTCATCAGAGTGGAATGCCAAGCAAAACTCTTTCCACATATATAGCAACCATGTCGCTGGTCTGCTCGTGGGACAGGGAGATGGACACAGAGTAGGGGGCGGCCCCGGCAACGTGGCCTGGACGGCTGCTCCAAACCATTAGGGAGCCCAAGAGGCCGAGCATCCACAGAAAGGATCTTCTCCAATGCCTCAGTCCTTTCTGCTTGTCCCTTTTCTTCCTTGTTTCTGGAGTCTGCTGGGAAATAAAGAGGAGAGGTTAAACCTTGGCTTACTATCATCCTTGAGTCCCACACCCCATGTGTTAATAGAGAAGACTCTGTATTACCACCCATGGGGTAATACAGCCACCTGCTGTCTCTGGCATTCAGCTTGGCACAGGCAGAAAAGCTAGGAATGGCACCTTTCCTCAGCTGCACAGGACAGAAAGAAAAACTGCAGCGACCAAAGAGAAAAAAGGAGTCAAAAAGTAGTGCATTCTACCTTGGGGATGGGGAAATGGGAGGCAAGGGGGAGATGATTTCTTAGCTGGATCATGGAAGCTGATTAAGGGTGCTCCAGGCAACAGGAAAAGTACAAAGAGAGAGGTGAACCTGGCTGGCTTGGGCAAGTGTGCAAAGGTGTCCACTTCCCAGGATGTATGGGCAGAGGAAAACTGGAAATTCAGTGTAGAGCACAGAGGGAAAGATGCCGCTGGAGCTCAGCAGGGCTTCAGAACCAACTGGATGTGAACAATTCAGATTCCAGACAGAAGTGGGCGGCTGGCATGCCAGGCTCTGGCACCCCAGCAGAGCTTGGGTTAGCTCAGCACCCCTTTCTAGTCTGAATTCAGAAGCTAAGGACCAAACACAATAACTTGAGGCGGGAAAACAATTCCGGAAAGAACTTCAAGTTACAAGGTAATTTAAGGTAAAATAAAGTAACTGAAGACACAGAGATATCCTCTAGGGGCCGGGTGCCCGCGACTTGACCTGTATCTCCTTTTGTCAGGCACTCAGCCACCTCTGGATCCTGGGCATCCGGACCCCACAGTTCTGCTTCTTCCTCCACCCAGGAGATGAGGGCCGGCTTGGTGCCTCGGAATCCTTGGGGAGAGCAAATTAAATCCACGCTGAACGAGGCAGCTCCGCACAGTCCCGGCTTCCCGAACCAACCCCTGGCGTCCCTCTCCAGGCACAAGCCCCAGAGACTAAGCAGAGGGGACAGGGATGGGGCCTCACCGAGGGCGCACAGGTGGCCATAGGTCTCCCGCATCACGTCCCGGTACAGGGCGCGCTGCGCGGGCCGCAGACACCCCCACTCCTCGGGGGAGAAGTACACGGCCACGTCCGCGAACCTCACGGGCTTGGGTTTCCTCTCGCGTCTGGTCCTGTTTGGCGGCGCCATGGACCGCTCCTTGCCGGGCCTGGGTCTCCGGGGCTCCAGAACGCCTCCCTAGCGCGGGCCCCAAAGTTGGGGTGCGATCAAGAAAGGCCGAATGAGCGGGAGCCGGCCTCCCGAGGATCCACCAAGACGGCTAGGAACAGCCCGCAGTGGACCATAAGCCCGGGAACGCCTTTTTTCTTGAAAAAAGGCTATTACGCGACCTCTTGAACTTTGCCCCCACGCGGTCGCGTTTCTGTGACGTTAAAATACTTCCGGTCGTGCGTCAACGTGCCCACAGCCAAAATGGCCGCGAAGTGTTCGCGAGCCGGAGTCGCACCCGGCAGGTGTAGAGGGCGCCCTCCCGCGCCTGGCCCCCACGTCTCTCCCGCTCCCTGTAAGGCACAGAGTGTAGAGATTTGGAGGGCGGCAGCACTGCAGCTACAGTCCTCACTGTGCCTGCTCTGCCTTTGTGAATTAGGGCGTTAGTTTCGCTGCTGGGCTGCGGTTCATCACCCGGTGATGGCAACCTTTCCCCATTGTAGAGGGTCAAAAAATGTAGTGGGTGAAAAAGGACCAGCTGTCTCTGTCGGGAGCTCGTGCTACTCTAAAATTCTGGTTCTGGGAGTACTATTTCAGGAAGTGGTAGGGGCAGCTGGGTGAGAGTGGGCTAAGGTCAGCGAAAGATGAAAAGCACCCTCTTGCTGTTGACTACCCTCTGCCCACATGCAGTGCATACATGTTTACCTCTAGCACAAGGCCTGACTCCTGAGTTCCTGATCACACAGCTACTTGACAGCTTGCCTCTGTGGATAATCCACAACGACCTCGTCACAGCATGCCCAAAAGTGAATTCATCTCTATACCCTTTTGTTCTACAGCCTGCCCCTGCTGGCTGGGGTTCTTTTGTCAGCAAACGGCACCAACTCTTCATATCATGCCCACCTTCAAGCCTCCTCAACATCTTGAAGGGCTTCTCTGTGCTCCACTTGTGCTCAGAAATACCCCAGCAAAACCAGACACATTTCACAGAAGTGTACTTCCCATCTTCAACAGATCTGAATCCCAGTCTGGAGCATGTGTCTGTCTGCCTTCTTCTAAGGCCTCCCAGGGGATTCCACCTGACACCTTGTCCCCACAGCCAGGGTAGCTGGGGAGAGAATGATCACAGCTCACTGGGACAAACACAAAAAGCTTGAGGTTAACACCTGGCCACAGAGAGAGGTTTGTTGGAAAACATCTGAAGAGGTTAAGAATGCAGAGTTGCCCAGTAACTTGACCCCAGCTCTCCAACTTCTCAGGCCCCCAAAGGACACATAAGACAATAGAAAAATCTCTGTTCAGAGTGATGGTATCTTGCCACCAGTCACTCCCCAACCTTCACCACATTTCCTATAGAGCTCAGGCTGTGCAGCGCTCTGGGTGGTGCTGGAAACCCATAATGTGATCCAGGGAAGAGCCCAGGGCGGGAGTCACACCCTGGGGTCAGCCATGAGCCTATAGCCCAGACTGCAGGTTTTCCTGTGGCTCTAACTTAAGAACCTCAGTAGGGATAGGAATAAAATGCTGTGAGTGAACTTGACTATAAGTCTGCAGGTAGCATGAAAGATACTCAGTGTGGTGGAACCAGGTGCCATGCTAGCTACAGGCAAAGGGTCCTTTCTCCCTAGTGCACTGGGCCAGGCAGAAGGTAACAGCATCTGGTTTTACTCAGACAGGGATGGTGTGGGTAAGTATCAGGTGCTGAGGCAAGGTGCAGACTTGGGGCTTGAGAAATGCCTGGAACCTTGGCCACAGGCTCTGAGCCCAAGTCATGTCTCTGATCCCAGGGGCTCATGACAGCTCCCACATAGACCACACTGACAGGAAACAACAGACTCAAAACTTACTCTTTGCTCTGCTGTCTCTCCAAGGTCTAATCATGTTCAGATGACAGAAGCAATCTTCACACCAGTAGAAGCATTCTAGCTCCTAGAAGCCTCCCACCCCAGACTGTATCGGTCAGTTGAATACCCACAAGTCAGGGGCCTTCCCACTCACCTCAGAACCAGAGGAGATACCCTCAACCAGAGGAACAACTGTCACAGGAGACAAAAGGTAAACTGCTTTCATCCTAAACTTAAATTTACACATACAAGTAAACGACCAAACTAGGTCTTTCACTCTTGCACCTAAAAAACCAGTATCTGAATTACGAAAAGTGTCTTTGTATAAAGGAGTTAGCCAAGATGGCCAGCAAGAGAGTCAGGAGGATGGGCCTCTAAAATACAGCTTCCCAAAGTAGCAGGAATGCTGGGATCTTCTAAAGGTGAAGGAATGTGAGGATGAATGCAGGCTTCACATCTGCAGGTCTGAGGAGGTGCCTGGTAGTCTGGGTGATGGGAATCGTGGTGTTTGACTTTCCCAGCACAAGTCATCATGTTATCAGCAGATTTTTTTTCTGATGCCACTATCAACTCAGGGAAACAAAATTTTATTAGGGATGTGACACAGTTTTCTGAATTCCCAGGAATGCAGGTGAACCCATTTAACAGTTAATCATAAGGGAGTAGGGGATACAAATCATTGAGTTTACAGTTTATCCTAGAGAGGAATGCAATTTAGTTAACTTTCCAAAAAAGGAATGCAAAGGGGTGATTAGAGCTTAATTCCATTTATTCCCAATTTTTAATCTGGGATGATTTTTGTTACAAAATGGAGGGACCTGCTATATCACTGATCTTGAGTTTGGATGATTCATACAGTGTAACCTAATCATGTAAAACCAGGATGCTTCAAAGTAGATGAGAAGCAAGATTTCTGACTCAGTTGGGTCATAAATTCACGTCAGAGAAGATTAGTAAGGACTATGCAGTTTCTTGTTCAACAAAACATTCTCCCTTCAAGCTGGAACTGGACACTGCCCTACTTCTCACCCATCTGGCGCTCTCAGGCTTCCTCTCTTCTGAGGATCTGGAGTAGTTGCACCCCTAACTGGGGCTCCACCTCTACCCTAGAGAAGAGTTTGGGATCTGAGAATTCTAGGGGTCTAATAATTGCAGAAACATTTAAGACTACCTGTATGCTCATGTAAAGAAAATACACCAGGCCCCTCTTGTGTGGCTGGCCTAGTAGGTGATGGAAACATTCAGAACCAAAAGGTTCCTGCTCTAAGTTGACACTAAGCGTGACTCCAGGGAGAAGCTGCCAGTACAGCTGCAGGCGGTGGTGCTTAGGGCTCCGGAGAGCCACAGAATCACAGACTTGGGACTCAGCGTGGGGAAAGCAACTCTTCTTTGGGGACAAAGTACATACAGATTAGCATACTGCAAGCAAAAGCTGGTGGGCTTAGAGGTACGCCTTAAGAACACATTCATTTAGCTGGTACCAAGTGGAGTCAGTGTCTGTAGGGAGAGATCTGGTTTGATCATGTGCTACCTCTGCTGAGGTACAGGCTCTCAACTTTTTTGTCCTAGGGATGTAAAAATAACTATTATATTATAAAAATAAATAAATAAAATAAAATAACCATGTGGGAAGGGGAGGGGTGGAGTTAGCCAAACCAAAGGATAAAAAAAAAAGATGTCCTAGGGAGCAGGCCCTCCCTGGTGGTGCAAGCACTATGAACCTATGCACAGCCACTGCAGCAGTTCAATCTTCTAACCTCCCCCCCACCCCACCCCCACACCTCTGGCTTGTACCCCAGTTCTTGCATGCTTAAATAAATCTTAAAAATAAAAAAGTCCTAGGGAGCTACTGTAAGAGTCTGACCAGGAAGTCTCAGTTATGAATGTCAGTGAGGCTCAGCTGACAGGGATCTCCAGAAACGGACTCACCCCAAGGCTAGACTAGGATCCAGTTTCCCTGACTCTACCCATCTCAGCCAGCCCCTTTCCTTTTCAGAGATCCGGAACAGCTGGATCCAAGAGTTCACAGGTGGCTGTCCCCATCATGCCCTCTGCACGGGCTAGAGACACCCCCTCTCTTAGGGTAAGAAGTAGGCAGCCTCCTCCTTGAAGTTCGTCCTTTTCCCTGCTGCTGCCCAGGGGCAGGGACTGGAACTTTAGTGGGAAGCAGGGAGCCAGGCCTGGGGTGGTCTCTGGACTTCCCTTCCCACCTAGGTGGAGCACTGCGGATTCCGCCTGGGACCAGGGCCAGGGGGACCCCTGGTGGCCCGAAGTAGCGTTAGCAGGGGCAGCTCTAGGTCGGATAGGCGAACTCGGTGCCCTCAGAGAAGATGGTACATTCTTGCTTCCTTCTAGTTTGGAGAAAGGCATCTAAGTTTCAGTATGGGCCTGGAGTCAATGACCTGATTCATTCTCCCCCACACCCCTTCCCCGTATTTTCTTGGTTTTCTTCACACAGCCTTGGAGGACCCTCATGCCCACAGCTAAGATGGCCGCGGCCGCTTCAATGCGCGAGCGCAGGCGGGGCGGTGGCGAGGAGCAATGGGGCTGGGATTCGCTGGCCGCCGGAAGTCGCCTTCCGGGTCCGGAAAGAACTGCCAGTGGCCGGTCTTGCTTGCTTTCTTCTTATTTTTTTAATTTATAGCAAACTACAGTAGTTATTTTTTTCCCCCCATTCACTGGATACAGAATATTCAGTGACCTCTTCTCCCACTCCATTCCTCTGTTAGCGGTTCCTTAACTACTCCTCCATGGATAGCCTGTTTATATAGTCACGATATTTCCATACATTTACTAGCTCCTTTTCTTAGGACATTGTGCCATTTTACAGGACAGAAAGCAGCCCTGTTACAACCTCAGGTCAGGCAGCCCTGTAGCATCTCCGGCCTTGCAGCCTGTTTCATTGTCGGCCTCCTCCAGGCCTGTTCCAGAAAAACAACATGAACACTTTGAATTTAACTGATTCCTGCTGAAAACCAGCAGTATTTTAAATCGATGATTAAGTTACGCATGTACAAAAAATAAGATGAGTTACTGTGCAACAACAAGCCTCTTAACAGAACAGTGGTGGGCAAGGCAAGAGCTGCAATTGGGGTTCTTAGTCCTGTTTTGCCTTTGTTTTCTCGTTTGTTAGTTTTTTAAATGCAGGTTGTTCTCTGACATGAGTATGAAATTAACTTTATCTTGATTGATCACTTAATATATGCCAAACTATTCTCACATTTTCACCTATTCATTTATTTAACAGTCACAGGCTGCAGCTCCTACTACTCTTCTGGATTAGAGGCTGAGGCCAGACATGAGCTTGCCTGAGGCTATCCAACCAAGCGGTGAGCCATAATTCCAACCCTAACAGTTTGCAGAGTCTGCTGTAATGTCCCGATTACTGAGGGCACAGAGAGATGGGATTTTAGGCCGGTTACCAAGAAATCGTTGTAACATGAGGTAATGTTCACCCCGGGGGTCAGAGCTATTCCTGTTCACACACTGCAGGTCCTCCAATAATGTCATTACTTTATATTGTTAATGAGAAAAAAAGAAACTGGACTGACAGTGAACAAAAAGTTATTCGAAGATCTTAATTTGTTATACATCCTTTTGCTTAAAGTCAGTTTCCAAGAACCTTTCCACAACATCAGGTAAAGACTTACTTTATACAATTCCAGTGTCATATAAACATAGAGGGGGAAAAATGAAAATGATGGGCTTGATTAAGTATTGACGTAAATAATAAGTACTGAAAAGTCAATAACAGGGTTAATGTTTTGTGGTTACATCATGGGTGGGGAAGATGTCATTCATATGTTAAGGAGATATGTGAAATTGCTGGGGTGAAGAGTTTTTACAGAAGGTATCCTGTACCAACTGGGCATTCAGCCTCTTGCTTTCCCATTCAGCCGGCACTGCAGCCTAGCATAGCGGAAAGAATGCGAGTGTCCACTGAGAAGTTAGGAAGTATGGATTCCAGGCCTACCTCTGCCACTAAATCAACTGGTGATCTTAAGCAAGGCCCGTCCCCTCTCTGGGCCTCAGCCTTTCTTAGAATGTGTCCTGTGGAACAGTAGTCCCACGAGGGGCCGGTGGAAAGAACAGAGTCACACAGAATCCCCTAAGGCCTCAGCTGGTGTTTGCTAAAAAACAAATGGGATCAACGCCCCTCATATGGAACTCTTTTGCCACCTAGCTGTCTCTCCCAACAGAAGGCACTCGATATCCTCATTGTCTGTTGACTGCATTTTGAAAGGGAAAGGTCATACATAGCCTAAAGGGGCTCTCATTTCTGGCCGGAGGCTCCCCTAGACAGACTAGGCTGGGACCTGCAGCCTGAGAAGCCACCCTTAACCCTAAGGCAGAGGCTGCTTTCTGTCTGGGAAATAAAGACCAAAAACCCTTTTCCTGCAGCTGCTTATTTACTATGCTGCTGGTTCCTTGAATTCTCACCTCATGCTCACCGGAGCCCCTCACTCACAGTCTGCCCAGATCTGACTGCTCAGAGGAAGTGGTAGAAATATCTGGTGTCTGTGTCAGTTTCCAGCTTGGCTACCTTAGAGCAGTAAAAACTTGAGAAAAATACTTCATCTTTGAGCCTTAGTTGATTCATCTGCCAAACACAGCCTTTGATGCCCACACCTGCTTCATAACACTTTGAAGCATAAAATGTCAACAATAATTCAGTCTTCAAACAAAAGTTTATTGCACTTTTACTATATCACACATGTTAAAATTTCAGTCTGCACAGTAACTCTTTCCTTTGAGGTAGATATTATTAAGCCTCATTTTATAGTTGAGGAGTTGAGGCTTAGGGAGGGAGTATGGTTACCGGCCGTGGGGTGGGGCAAGCCCCAGACTAGATCTGCCCCCTGCTTCTGGCCACCCATTTCTCTTCCAGAACTCCTTGCTGGTGTCAGTTTGCTAGGACCTTCCATGGCCTCCATCCGGGATCCCTCCCCAGGCCTTAGCCCCCCTCAGCATTTGCCTCTCATGTAAATAAGAAGCAAGGGGATTTTTTTTTTTTTTTTTGAGACAGTGGAAAGATCTTGGTTGCACCTGTTACTGAGATAACAACTGAGAAAAGTCTAGCATCTCACTCATTTTTTTTAAAGTGGGAGAAAGGTGTCAAGTTTAATCTATTTTAATTTTTACAGGCACTTTTCTTTTTCACAAGTTTAGAAACTTGTGGGATCCTTGAGGGAAGTCCAGGGGATGACTTCTGGTTCCCAAGCCCCTGACTCAGTTGCCTACCTCAGGGCCCAGTCAGTGCCTAGCACCTAGGCAGGCTCTATCCCAGCGTGGGAAGAGTGCTCAGCCGCACTCCTCGAAGATGTCGGGGTAGTGCCGGAACAGGACAGGCGGGTCCCGGTCACCCCGCACAGGTGCCCGAGGCACAGCCCTGATCCCAGGCCGCCGGCCTCGCCGCCCCCCAGAGCAGGAGCGGTGGATCCACTGGTGTGCTTCCACGGCGAACTTTCTCTTGAAGCGCATGCCGCACTCGGGGCAGGGGAAGGGCCGCTCCCCAGAGTGCATGCGCCGGTGGCTGACCAGCAGCGATGGGTAGGTGAAGCGGCGGCCACAGTCTGCACACACGTGGCGCCGCTGGCTCGCCTGCGCATCCCCTGCGCCCTGGTCCCAGGCCGCCTTCAGCGGTGGCTGTGCTCTCGCCATGGCCCGGCTGGCTGGCGAGTCAGGGTTGTCTTTAACCAGGTCTTCAGACGGCTCCTTCTCAGGAGTCTTTCTGGTCCCATGGGCTCCTGGCTCTTCCTGGGGTTCTTCCTTCTTGTCTGGACCATCTCCTGAGGAATAGGAATTACATTTTATTTTTTGACACATCCAGTAATTATTTTACATTTGATAATTATAAAAAAATGATTTTGCTTTGACAGTTGTGTGTTACACTGTAGGAATTACATTTAAAAACACATTTGTTCAGACTGTCTGGCTTGTCAGGTGCTTTTACTTATGAAAGTGCCAGAAAAACACTGCCCGGTGACTACACATGGCTTTGAAGGATGGTGAGCAGAGTTCAGGTGTTGGCAGAGTGACTTATGTGGGGTGTCAAAATGGTTCCTTTACTTCCCTGCCTTGTTGGAAGGTTTAAATAAAAACAGGTCAAGCACTTGACCTAAGGAGTAGCTATTATTATTGTGTTTTCTTTTTTTGTTTGTTTGTTCTTGTTAGGGTAAGGCTTTTGCAAATGAGGAGTCATTTGTTCAAGATCACTCTGCTGCAGGATTTAGAGGGGAGAAGAGCCAAGAGCCAATTACTGAGCATTTTCTCTTGTGCCACTTTGCCTTGCCTTGTGAAAGGCAGGCCTTAAGCCACTTCTGGAATCCAGGGAAAAGGGAGAATGATGTATTCTCCAGGAGGGTCCTGGAAACCTGGTTCTAGACTTGATTTGGGCTCACACTTAGATCTCATCTTGACTACTGTCCCAAGTTCTGAAAACTCTGCACCAGGTCTGATTTCCTCTAGACCCAACAGGTGTTGCCGCTTTAATACCTTTAGCAATGCTGGAAGTAGGGATCTGAAAGAGAAGAGAGGAAGCCCTGGGCCAGGTGGGGGAAGACTTGGGACCAACCCTCACCTCTCAGAGCTCCTCCCAGGCTTTCCCCCTCCTCAGGATCCTGGGCGGCGGGGCTCCAAGCCTCACTCTCCTGTTCCATCCAAGAGATGAGGGCTGGTTTGGGGCCTGGGAATCCTGGGAGAGAACAGGGATCACAGTGCTGGCCTCAGAGGCTGTCCTGGGAAGATGGCATTCCCCTGCCAGGGCACCTCCTTAGAACTTATGCTCAACTGCAGTGCGCCTGCCTGAGGGAGTGGATGGAAGTGGAAGGACTCCCGAGTGGGGCGGGGGTACCTGAAGTCCTGGGAATGGGAGGAGGCTGGTGCCGTAGGTGGAATAATTCGGGGTTAGGCTCACAATTCTCTCCGTCCTTCTATATCATCTCCCCGGTGAACCCCAGTGGCTGAGGAGGGGGCTCTGACCCGGGCCTCACCGAGCGCGCCCAGGTGGCCGTAGTTCTCCCGCATCACGTCCCGGTACAGGGCCCTCTGCGCGGGCCGCAGACTCCCCCACTCCTCCAGGGAGAAGTACACGGCCACGTCCGCGAACCTCACGGCCGCGGGCTGCTTGCAACCCGGCCGCCTCTGCCCGGGTCTCAGCGCCTGTAGCGGGGCTGGGGGCGGCGCCATGGGCCTCCCGGCCCAGAGCAAAGGCCACCGGGTCCCCGCTCCCGCCTCAGCTTCTTCCTCCGCAGGAAAGACTCCCGGCCCCGCCCAGCTTTGCTTCCGAACGCAGCCGGGGCCCGACGTCGCAGGGACTGGCTGCTGGGGATGCGGGGACTCTGATGGGAACAAATAACCCCCCTCGGTGTTTGTTCACTCCATGGCAGCTTGGACATAGACACCCGGGTTAAAGGACCCACCCGGAAGGTGCCTTCAGAAAATATGGCGACATCCTGGCTTCAGCTGTCACTAGCTGCCTTAAGGGCGCCATCCCTTGATCCTGCCGAACTCGCCGCGGTCTGGCTCCCCGGGCCTCTTGGTCCACTTGTCCTTAAACACAATGGCCGCTGGAGCTGGGCTTTTAGGGAGGCGCGGGGCGCAAGAGGGAGGGGACGCAGGGCAGGCCGAAGGGAACCCTCTTGCCTTCAAGAAAGATGGACGGGCCCGCGGCTTCCAGTACCTCGCTCGCCCGCACTGCGCCGCGGCCGGTGATTGGCCGCCAGCGGGAAGCGGCGGCGCCCGCACGGGCAACTGGCGGGGCTTGGGGAAGGCGCACCCTGAGGCCGTGGGCTGGTCCGGGAATTGACCGCGGATCTTGTCCTCTGTGGGGCCCGGGATTATGGCCCCGAGGGCGACAACGGGAAGCCGGGCCCCACCCTGCGGGAAGACGCCCACATCTTGGCCAGCCCTGGGGAGAACCGAGGTAGACGCCAGGTACGCGTTTGCTCTCCGGACCTCGTCTTGGAAACACCCGACTGCCAGCCTACACTTGGCTTGCTCCTCGCGGAGCTCCGGGCTAGGGGCCTTGCTAGGTGAGGTTGGAACGAAAGGAGGAAATTTAAAATAATTTCCCCCCAAAACTAATGAATACCTGATACTTTAAAAGTAGTAGAAAAGATGTCTAATGACAGCCCCTCCATACACTTCCCTGTGTTCTAAATAACTCGTTTAGGAACTCTGTTGTGCGTACAGTACAGTGCACACATCAGTGAGAAGTTCGCCCAGTTGTATATAAACGTATTATATACATCACACAAAACAAGATATATGACAGTGCTCCTGAACCCCTTGCGCCACCAGGGAGTGCCCTTAGTGCGTCATCTTAAAAGCTGTGGCATGGGTTTATAAGTCCCAGATGTCCTCATCCCGTTTGTAATATGCCGCGGTTAGGCAGGATGTCAGTTTATTAAGCATGGGATTCACTAAGGCGATGACAGTACCAGCCTGGTTTCTGGGTAGCAGCCCACAGCCCCATCTTCGAGCCACTCCTCTAAGTCTCCCCCTTTTCAGACATGTTTTTCATTGCTGATTCACCAGTGCCTTTCCAGTCTTTATATTTTCTTTTAAAAAAGATTTATCCATCTTCATATTTTCAGAACTGACTTTTTTTTTAATAACAGTTTATTTTTACATCATTTTGTACATTTTTTCCCCCCATCTCAATTGTAATCCCCGCGGGTTTCCCATCACCAAGTCACCCTTGTGCCATCACCATAATCCCGTGCACTTCCCCCCCCCACCCCCGTTTTTGATCCCATTCCCCACTTCAGCCCGGCAAAATGTCTCTGGTATATGGTTGTTCATTATTTTTGTTATGTTCTCGCCTGGTCCATTATTCTCCTGTTATGAGTGAAACTATCCGGTATTTTTCTTTCTCGACGACCCTTTTTTTTTTAAGCAGGAATAATTTTTGACTTTTAGTGTGACTTCTACTGGTTTCACTTCAGTAAATTAAATGCTTATTTAAAAACTTTCCCTTCAGAGTTCTGGAGGTGCCTCACTCTACTCACTGTGGCAAACAGTGTAGAAAAGGATTAAGTAGGGCTCTCCCTGGTAGCACAGTGCAGCACTATGAAGCTAGCCAAGTCACTTAGCACCAGTTCTATCCCCAGCCAGGAAGGTGACCCACATGGCGCGGCAGACCTCTCCTGTCTCACCCGCTGCTCCCCTTAGCAGTGTTCTTCACCAATCTGCCTGTGTTGCTTCCCATTCTGTCTCTGGTGAATCTTCCCACTGCCCCTGCACCCCTGGCCTGTACCCCAGCTCTGTATGCATAAATAAATAAATCTTTTTTAAAAAATTGTAAATTGCTTCCAATAAACTTGCTATTAACTAATTTGATTGAAACAAACTTTCAAGGCTAAAGCTGTTCCAACATAAGTGGCTGCCAATCATAAAAACACAAAGATGTCTTGCTTTTAGTTTTATTGCCCACCAAATTGCACATGTTTGTTCAAGAGTCTGGATAATGATGAAATGTTATAAAATACATTGGAGATCATTATGGTTCATAAATTTTACTTGTTAGTTACAGGATGAATTAAAACCTTAAGCAAAGCTAAAGTTTCTTGCATAAAGCTCAGCCTTGTGTTGACGTGCTAGGGATGAAATGTAATGATGTCTGCAACTTACTGTGAAATATATTAAAATAAGATGGATAAATGAAAGGATAAAAGATGGGTAGATGGGATGAGATAAGCTAAAGCAAATAGCAAAACTACAGAATCCAGGTTAACAATAGAATCTAAGTATGGGCAAATGAAAGTTTGGCATAAAATTCTTTTTAACTCTTTTGAATGCTTGAGAAATTTTACTATAAAATGTTGGGGTGGGGCAGGGTTCTTCAATCTATAAATACATGCTAGGTCCCTTCACATTTTTATCTCAGACCATCCTGTGAAGTTGACATTAGCCCCATTTTACAAGTGAGACAAAGTTTAGAAATGTTGAGAATATGTTTAAGGCCACACAGCTAGTGCAGACTCTGCTGAAATAGGATCCAGTTCTACTAATGCAGGAAAGTTTATATATGATACAGTAAAAATCACTACCAATTCCTATTAATAATCATAGCTGGAACCAAGGCGTTCAAAGAAGCAGTCTTTGGTTAAAAGAGGTATTTGAGGGCCCTCCCTGGTGGCTCAGTGGGTTAAAGCATAGCACTGAGAATCTAAAGCCGCTTCTGCATGAGTTCGATTCCCGCCTGCCC